TGTTTATTTTTGTTCATGTAAATATTGATGATAAAAATATTCACACTGCAAATAAGAAACTGCATGAACTACTGCAATGTTCTTGGGAGGTGTCAACAGCCTTTCTTTCTGCAAAAGGTGATTCATTTTATAGTACGTAAACAAGCCAGATCTTGTCATTTCTAAAACTAAGCCTTGTCCTATCTGTAAGGATTTGGTTTTCTGTGTTTTACTTTAGTTCCATGCTGTGGACCACAACATGGTCTATGTTGTGGACCATGGTCCATGTCAACATGGATGTCCCCAGATTTTGCTCACCTGTGCTGCCTGGACTTTGTACTCTTTATGGATCCATTTTTGCACCACAGCCAGGACTCCACCACGTCTAACCTCACCACCTAACAACCAATTCATGACAAGTTTAACCCCAACTTGTTTTTTTTCCCATCTTTATGAAACACTTGTGAAAGAACGTGTCGCTCTCAGGGCTGCAGAGCTCGGCAACCTCCAAGCATCATGTTGCGTCCATGTTAGCGCAATAACAATGCACAGAAAGCGTCGCACAATGGGTTTCCATGATGAACTGAACTTCATTGCATTGGAGTCTTTTTGAAGTAATAAATCAAGCCTATTTGTCTGGCAGTGAAGACTCTGGGGTTAGCAGTTGCCAGGAGAAGAGCAGCAACCAAAGCGTACTGCCAAGGCAACAATGAAGTTCTGTTGACTGTTCCAGCCAACATCCCAGAAACATCAATGTTTCCCAAAATTCCTGAGTTGCAGATGAATGGAGCAAAGTTCAACTCAAGACTTGGAGTCCAGCTACAAGAAAACAAACCTTCCTGTGATCTTTCCAACAAAGTTTTGTCCATCAGATTCCAATGCAAGTTTTCTCATCTGAACACCTTTGTGTGCTTTGTTTTTATTAGGTATTTGGTTATTATTCTGTTTTTCTGCAGTAAAGCAGTTCCACCTTAAAAAAAATTAGACTGTTCCTTTAATTGTAAGTGAGCAAACATGCAAGATCAGCAGGGGATCAAATAATTATTTCCTCCACTCTAGCCACAGTCTCTTTGGAAAAAGCACTCAGTCTGAAAAGCCAATTACACTGCCGACTTTTACACAGATTTTCATGTAAAAGGGAAAAAGAAAAAAAACCCGTCTGCCCGAGAGCTCTGGGTCCTGCCGCTTTAGCCATCAATCAAGGACCAAACTGGCATGCACTCACGCAGAGGCACAATAACAATTTCAGGCACAACAAGCTGCAAATCACATGTTCAACCGCACACAGATGCACACAGTCGTACACGAAGCCAAAGAGAAAGAGCGAGAGAAGTGCTGTTATGCAAATATGATGTGAAAGCAGAAGAATGAGCTTGCTGTGGTTTCAGATCAATGATGTTTGAGCTCTGTTTTTAGTAGCGCTCGAAATGAGAGGCGCACAGAAAGGGGATACAACATGGAGATCCACTGAGAGATAGGGAAGGGGAAATAAACATCTTCAGAGGCATGGAGGAGTTACATCATGGGGAGATAAATCTATAATGTTCTGAGCGATAAATGGAGATAATACGGCCGTGTGGTTGTTGTGCGTGTGTGTGTGTGTGTGTGTGTGTGTGTGTGTGTGTATGTGTGAGAACCCGGCTTTGCTGTAGTCACTGAATGATGGAGGTTTATGTAACAAACAGTCCAGTGGTGAAAGGAAATCACAAGAAAATACATAGCGTTGCTTCGACGTGGAAAAGCAAAGAGAACGGGAGGCATTTTAAGCATCGCACACATAAGTAGGAAAGGGAAAGAAGTGAGAAGAAAAGGGACATTAAAACACAGTGTGATCACTGCAAGTGTAAGAACCGCAGCTGATGAGCATCTCATTGCCTTGAGGTGCAATGTATCTAGTGTCCTCCAGATGTTGGATCTAAAACACGTCTGAGGGAGACTCTACTCTTGAGATGATGGACAAAGCCATTCACAATGGCTGCATGCCGGCTCTGGAGAGTGTGTAACCAGGTTCACTATTAGAATATTCCTACGCTGACAAATGCAGACCATCCAACATCTGATTAGCTATTGCTAAGGCTAGTAAATTTTGCTGTTTTTATAAATACGGTGCCATTTTTTTAAAATGCATTTTTCTGTTGCCTTTTTTGCCAGATCTCTTAACTCCACAACTAAGGCAGATGCTATTCTGGGTTGTTTGATGACTCCCTTGATGAGTCATCAATACATTTTACATCAGTTCTGACTCAGTTTTGCCCATTTGTGTATAATGGCTCTTCCTGTGCTGTGTATTGCAGGTGTCCCAAAGCCTCAGTAATAACTTTCCAGACAGCTAGAGCTATAAGCCTGACATTTTTCATGCCTTAAACTCTGATTTGAATTCAAGCAATACGTTTGCCTCCAATAAAGTTGATCCTGAGTGCAGTTTCAAGCTGGCTTTTCATTCAACTTTGACCAGTAGTTGACCAGGAGTTGTTAGCCATCTTAGCATTATCCTGAAGTTGTACTGTTGAGATACACAAAACTCTTTCTTTCCCTTTATGGACATCAACAATTGATCTTTCAACAAGAAAATGCAAATTTGCCACAGTTTTGATTGCTTACAACACTGGTCACTCACAGCCTTTATAGATATTTACTCCTCATCTCCAGAGGAAAGCTGTCAGCAGCCCAAGATAATGATAAATATAAGGTATTAGACAATGCCTTCTTTAAGCTTGAAGAAAGCCCAACATGGTCCAAATGCGATCTGACAGTGATGTTAAGAAGCCATGTGTTTTAGTTTTTCAAACTTAAATCTCGTTGACCGAAACCAATAACGTAAGCGTGTGAATAACCAAGCAGAGCTGATTAATCAGCTGTTAATCAATCGTGAGTTTCCCTAACACATAATGTAAACCACCAAAACGCAAACACAAAGTTTACCATTTGAAAGCCTCTCAAACTGCTATTGAGCTTATTTATTTCAGAAAACATAATAATGAGAATAATTTTTCTCAGATGGTCCAAATTCTTTCTGTTTTTTTTTTTTTTGCTCCGGTGACTTTTTTCCAGGTTTTGCCTTGGCGGGTCACATATATCACCCAGGTGATTCTGAAAATTTATTCATAAGAGTGAACAAGTCTCTGTGCAACTGTTTGCAGTCTGACATCACCAACGATATCGAACATGGAGGCTGGCTCACTGTTATAGATCTTATAGCTTAGCAGCCTCGAGGAAAAGCTACACTCCATCCTGGTTATGGGACATTTTAAAAAAGAGATCATTGTGGCTTTACGACAAGTTGCGGCCACAGCCTAAACGCACACACACACACACACATGCATACGTTTCAGGTACTCATAGGTACGTGAGTCTCTAGATGCCTGTAACCATTGCAATTTCAGCTGCCTTGCTCTTTTAATAGCTGTCTAGACACAGTTATGCAACCATAATGCTAAATGTGCCTCTAATATAAGAGGTGAGGTGGGTAATGGGGGACCAATATGGTTAAAAACAGAGAGCTATTTGAATCGGTTGCTAAATCTACAGTAAACACTGATTTGATGAGACCGAGCTGAACCGTGCACGCTGTCATCTGTCCTGCAGCTAAATCAATCTCATCTAGGTCACTCACAACCAGACGACTGCGTGCGCATACGTGTGCACGTGTGTGTGTGTGTGTGTGTGTGTGTGTGTGTGTGTGTGTGTGTGTGTGTGTGTGTGTGTGTGTGTGTGTGTGTGTGTGTGTGTGTGTGTGTGTGTGTGTGTGTGTGGACGGCAGAAACCAGTCAGTTGGGACCTAAAACAATGAGAAACTCACAACTTTCTTATTGTAAATCATCTGTTTCAACAGAAAAGAAAAAAAAATGCCTGTGAAATTGTTAATGTTTTAACTTATTTATTTATTTTCACAAAAGTGTGCCATGCTTTAATATCAAACCCTCCTTTCCTTCAAGTTCTTTCGGGGTAATTCTTGGCACATCCATATTCAGAAGTTGTTTCCCCGTTTGAGAAAATAGCCTCAGCTCGTTCCCATTAGACATAGAGTCCAAACGTCATTGCCTGAATCACAAAGAAGATGGACACCTGCACCACTTGTAAGGTGCACTTTGATGGTAGCATTGAAGATAAACTCTTCAGATCAAGTCAAATGTAAGCAAGCTTCACTGTTTTCGTCACATCATGACCATCCAGCTGACGAGGTTGCTTGGTCGTTGTTGAAGTCTCATTCCTCTGCACACACGAATCTTAGAGTGGATCTGCCACATTCCTGCACATTAGCAGCAACCAATACAGTTGCCAATAAACAAATGTGTCATGATGTGGTTTCATAAGACCATTTCTCCATTACGGACAGATGGTTCGATTTTACGTATGAACATAATTTTTGGCACATTTGGAGACCAACAAGCTAATGGCTGAATGCAAATGAATGAGGCAATTTTCCTTCCTATTTATGCAGAAATTTTATGTTTGTCAAGAACATGAAAACCCAACAAACATATAGAAGTTTGTGGTTGTACTGTGACAAAATGTGGAAAAAGTGCAAGAACAGAATGCTTCTGTAAAGCGCTGTTTCTTAGGTAACTTTGTGAAACTAAATGTATTCAGGACCTTAACAATAAACCTTTTGGAAACAAAGGGAAGTCTACGGCTGTGCTCACTTCTTTATTCAGCACCCAGTCTCTTTAAAATTTTTGTAAACCTGGAACTTAATGAGACCATTTAAGACACAAACGCCTGCATTTCAAATCCTGACATTGGAGTTGCTTAATTGTGTTGTTGACACGTGAGAGAGTCTACAGCTGCCATCTTTTTCACAAAAGCTGAGAAACAGACAGGCTTATTTACAAGCTAGTCCACAAGTGGAATTCTATACAACATTAACAATGTTACACTGATAAAATAACACGCATAAATGTTGTGGAGAAGAGCGCTAAATGCTTTTTTACCACTCTCTCTCTCTCTCTCTCTTCTCTCTCTCCCTCTCTCTCTCTCCTTTCTGTCAGCGGCTGTCAGAAGAAAAGGAGGAAGAGGAGGAAGCGAAGCCAGTGCGGCGACAGCAGCTCACTCCGCTGACGGACAAGACAAGCAGCCACTTCTCACAACTCCAACAACTTTTCTTTTATCTTGTTGTTGTTGCTCTGCTTCAATAAGCGCTTTTTTTCTTTCTTTCTTTCTGTTTTTTTTATTTTTTATTTTTTTTATAACCCCTTCACTCCCTTTCGCTTTTTTCTGCGCACCGACCATTTCGACGCGCCGAGCGCCTTTGAACCGAGCAGCGCGGAGCAGGAGCCCCCTGAACCCGGGAGAATGGCAGACTCGGCGGCCGCCAACAGCGACGGGGAGGACGGACCCCAGCAGCCCATGCGGGGCTTCGCGCGCCAGGGCGCGCTCCGGCAGAAGAACGTGCACGAGGTGAAGGACCACAAATTCATCGCGCGCTTCTTCAAGCAGCCCACCTTCTGCAGCCACTGCACCGACTTCATCTGGTGAGGAGCGGGTTGGTGGTCTGTTTCCGCGGGGCTTTTTAAACAGTTGTCGCTCCACATCATGATGCTGCCGCCATCCTTTATTATCATTATTATTATGATAGGATTACCTTTCACAGCTGTAGATAAAGGTTCACAGAGAAGTGAAACAGATACTGACTTGCCCTTAAGAAATAGAGAAAGACGGCGGCCGCCGTCTTCTTAAAATAACCGACTACTTCAGCTTTCGTCACACTTGTTGATGCTATAACTGTACGCCAAGGCGAAAAGGGAAGACCAAGAAATATGTGGGCTGTAGTGTTAAAAAAGAAAGAATAGCTGCAGACCAACATTTGATGGAGTGAAGTAGGCTGAAGAAGTGAGTGGGTGAAAAAAAAATATATATATATTTTTTTATTTATTTATTTTTTTTAGATCAAGCCTGGCAGCTGGAATTACCTAAGAGAAAATAATTGATAAGGTCCTTTATCACATGCATGTTTAACTGTGATATCTGTGATAAATGTTTAACATTTTACTATGGGTCATACGATCCACTACCAAGGGAGACAGTCAAAAGGCGACAGAAATAATGGTAAACTTTTATTTACACCCCATATTTCTTTTGCTTCTTTTTGCATCTTCAGGGAGGGAGCAGCCGCCCCTGGTGTTCAGCACACCTTTCAGTGTGCTGTATACTGCGGGTGGCTATCAAGGCTGACACTGGCATCTGATCCCTAGCTTTTGGCCTAATGTCTAACAGATGAAAACATTTAACAGATGGGATGAATTGAATGATGAAGTCGGGCAATGTATATAAGCAGGATGGGCTTCAGCAGTGCAGCCTTTCTTTTTCGGGGTTGTGTCGGGGGGCTTTGGGGTGAAGGCCTAAAGAAGGGGCTCCCTGGGGAAGCTATTCATGCAAAAACTCCCACTGCTTGTCAGTAACCTGTGCAAACATGTCACATTCCACGCAGGCCACCTGGGTTTACTAGACAGCCGCACAGATCTGCACTCAGGTCGTTAAATTAATCTAGTGCTGGAGTTTGGCCTAATTTGTCCCGTTTATTATTATCCCTGCACCAGTCCCAGAATGGCTGTTAGTCCAGACCTGTGACAAGCTTTTTAATTTGTGAATGACTAAGTGATCTGACCTAGAAGATTATGTTTGGGACTTTAGATCCCACTGGCTGAAAAACGAGAGATCTATCTATCTATCTATCTATCTATCTATCTATCTATCTATCTATCTATCTATCTATCTATCTATCTATCTATCTATCTATCTATCTATCTATCTATCTATCTATCTATCTATCTATCTATCTATCTATCTATCTATCTATCTATCTATCTATCTAGTCAAAAAGCAACATGAAAAAGAACAATGTGCACACTGAGAGATGTCACACCTGTGGAGATGATCTATTTGTAGCTTCAATATGAAAATGAGCTGGGCAGAGAGTGTGTGTGTGTGTGTTTTCATGGATGCACCTGCAGCCATCCCCACATTGCCCGTGTACCTTTGGAGGAGGTGTGTCAGATCATTTTGCTTTCTTCTTCCCAGCTGAGCTGCAAAGTTTTCAGTGCGTTCACTCCACACACAGAACAGGTCATGCCCCAAGAAAAAAAATCTGACACACCTCTGCTGGTGTGCTTTTAATTTTCTATGGTTAACATTTTGCTAGATACAGAAATCGGACGTTGTTGATCGATGCATGTGTTTGCTCAGTCACATTTTGCATTTGTGTAAATTTTTCCCTCTGTCGTTTTCTCTCCACAGGGGATTTGGGAAGCAGGGATTCCAGTGTCAAGGTAGGTCAATTGAAAGTGCACTGCACACACGTGCGCTTCACTCACGTTCGCCAACCTCTCTTGATTTTGAAAAGACACAAATTCACTCAAAGGACGAAAATACAGCATGCCAAACATTGTTCTTTAAGTGCCCTTGTAATTGGTTTGAAGAAACCGTTTCCTACGCTCAGTTCTAAACTTAAAACAGGCCACCCAACATCCCTGGTGTGCAATTAATTTTGACTGGCACAGAGAACAGCATCACAAAGCTCTGGGAATAGAATAAATGCCGGTGAAAAGAAAGAGCTGACAATAACAATGATTATTAATTAATGCTTATGAATGTTTTGTTTGTCAAAACTAATGGGGGGGTGGAACGGTGAAGTGTGCTTGAAGCTTGAAACCTTCAAGTCGAAGCAAATAAATATTTGCACTGTTATTAACGTTGACACAATCAGAGTGTCTGGGCCCTTTGTTTCATGAAGTTACGTATGTAAAATCTGAATCTAAACATTTAGATTTAGACGACAAAAACAAAAGCTTAAAAAAAAAAATGTCACTGAAAGCCCAAACAAATTTCCTGTCATTGGTTAATGCACGGTTCAGTGAAGGTGATGTAGTATTACCTTCAAGTTATGTAACATGAAGGTGATACTACACTTGATGAACAGAGAGTTAAAGGCTCATTGTGGGATTTTGCAAGTGTTTTACATACAACATGTAAACATACCACCACAGTATTTCACTTGGATTTTCTGTGACAGACCAACACAAAGTAATGCAATCGAAAAGAAGGGGTGGGGGAGATTATACATATTTCAACATTTCTTGCAAATATTAAATCTGGAAAGTGTGGCATAGATCTGCCTTTGGCTCTCTTGACACATAATGCTATGCATTAGCAGCAGGGATTTGTAATCAGGTGATGGGAAGGGACTGCAAAAGACTCTAGATTGAATCAGAGGCTTAATTCATCCCAATGAGAATCTGTGTCAGGCTTCGAAACTCGTACTAAAAATATTCTCCATCCATTCTGACGGAGTTTGAGGTATTTTCACAGAGTAAAATGGCTAAAAATTTCAATCATTAAATGTGCAAAGCTTGCAGTGATCTACCTTGAGGACTTGTACGTGTAATTGGAGTAACAGCACTTCCTCGAGAGTTTAATTTCAAATGCACATCACAATTTGCAGTTGACATTTGCAAAATTTTCAGCAATTGTGCTTCATTTTTTTCCTTCCAATTCAGCACTTTGCACTGCTTCGTGTCAGTCCGTCAGAATCACAGGCAGTGATCTGAGAGAATGTGAAAAGAATTAAAGTGTATAAATATTTAACCCTGCATTGTTAATAATGTATCTGACCTGGTAAACAACATTTAAAGAAATACGTGGCAAGACCATTTTAAAATTTGCTTGCCTAGCTTCCGTGGACTCAAACCTTTAGAGTCAGACGCATCATCCCTGTTCTCCGGTCTTCCCTCGACAAATGATCTAATCAACCACAGGAATGTCGCAAAAAAATCTATAAAAAATGTGGAGGAGCTTTTGGCGGTTTTTATCTTTATTCAGTTTGCTTGAAGTCTTATCTTTTATTTTCTCCCGACTGTCTTTACAGCCAGTTGGATGTTCAAGGATTTTCTCGTTCCTTAGCAACAGCGAAGCATCCAGACACAGCCGTCTATAGGCTCTGGGATGTAGGAGGTGCTTTTCAACACAGCAGTGGGTTAGCTGGTAATTAGCACATGTGTACATACGATGTGTAAGCTGTCGGTGGTACGCTTTTAGGGAAGTCTCACTTGTTTGACTGAACTCGAGCTTTTGTCCAGTAAGACAAAAATGTGTGTGAGAGTAAACACTAGGCACCAGCAACAAGCCGGCTGTCTGGTTTTCACGGGAATGTGAAGATAAGTGTGATCTTGTTTTCCGCCTGGAACAGAGTATCATTCGGGGAATTTCTCCACAAGGTCAAACAGATGCATATGTAGACGCAAAAGGAATGAAGCAACACACCAGTGTTAGGGTGTGCTTCACTTCTTCTCAGAGTCACACTGATAGTATGTGTGTGTGTGTGTGTGTGTGTGTGTGTGTGTGTGTGTGTGTGTGTGTGTGTGTGTGTGTGTGTGTGTGTGTGTGTGTGTGTGTGTGTGAATGTGTCTACCCACTGATATCTCACATATATGTACTTTAGTTCTATTTGTAGTCCAACGTATATGCACTTGGTTGTTTATTGCCTACACGGCCTAAATAGTTTGAATTTACAGTAAGTTCAGCAAAATGCTAATCAGCTATGTTAACTGCACATGGCGTTGCTATTTTTTGCACAGTCAGAGTGGAGAAAAAAAAGGGAAGTTGTTTTTGCATTTGCAACGCTAATGCTTGTACTTTAAACAGAACAGGAGTAAAAGAGGTTGCTTCCTTCAATTTGGAATGGCTTTCCTCCTGAATGAAACGGGTCCGTAGTTCATGGTATGCTGACGGATCCTAAACGTTGGTTTGTGCCAGCTCTCAGAAGGCAGCGGAGACAACCAGCAGCCACATGTAACACTGCATATAATTAACAAGGATGTGGCCTGTTGAGCTTCCTTTTCACTGCCCTGATCTGATGTTGTTTAGATCTGTTGAAAGTCTGTGTGGCATGAAATGTTTTCCGGCACCAGGCTTTTATTTAAAACAGTGTATATGCTTGAAAAGACACACATGCAGCTTTCTTACCTTACTGAACATCATGCGAATTAAAAACATTGTAGTTACAATAGAGCAGCATGCATTTGTTGCAGTGCACAGAGAAAGTGACACCGCATATGAAAATGAAATAATAGTGACCTGTGAGAGAACATGCTGTGCAGAGATCACATTCTGTTTTCAATCAGTCCTGCAGCAACAACCATCACTGTGTTCCCTCTTGTTGTGCATTAGAGCTTTGACTGGTGCCAATTTTAAAATACGCCCTGCAAGCATCTATTTTCAAATCCAGTCAGATCAATTCATTGTCATTTCGGGATTTCTCTGGGATCCATGACGTATTGGTGCAACAAACCATGCAAAATGGTATATGGAAAAAAAGCATAATCTTAAGAGCAGTTTAGTATTTCAACAGTTAGAGGCAAAAAGGAGTGTAGCTTTCTGGATGGCAGCAGTTTAAAATGTTCATGGGAAGAGCTTCTGTCTGCAGCAGCGGTGAAAAAGACTGTGAATGGATTATAGAGGTTCTCCAATGAGCCATCCAGCTCCGTCACCAACCTCTGCAGGGCCCTGCAGCACATAGAGGTGTAGAATGTCAGGCCGATTTTCTTCCAATCCCTGTGCGGTGTTGTGAAGATGCGGGTGTGGAGATCAACAAACACAATTCTCGCGTTTGTTGATCACCAAGGGGAAAGCGACTTTCTGCATTATTGCCATCTTGTGGTAAAGTTCATAACAGCTGGTTCAAAATCTACAATCAGTTCATGTTAATTCAGCACAAATTGACGCAAAGGTCAAAGTTTTCAATAGGAAATGTCAAAGTCTGTTAAACAAGTGGAGGATACATCTGAAAGTCTTGTAATGTGCAATCATCACATGCCAACTTACAAAGCAAACGTTGACAGCGTGTCACTGGATTAACGTCATTGTTGCATAAAGTAAATGTGCTTTAGGGGGCGTTACAACGTCCCTCTTTAAGACGGCATCCCAAAGGAATCACCAAAATGAGGTCCTTTCACTCCTTTACTGCTGTATTCTAACTGGTACAGTATCAAGTACCGAACAATAAACTTTGAGATTTAAATCAATCGAATGACTTTTGCAGTGTATGCAGTTTTTTGACAACAAAACTGCATACTTTTCAGTTGGTAAAATTAGATTGATAGCAACAAAAGTAGTAATAGCCAAAATAAAACATAAATAAATCACACCCAATTGAATATTTGCACAGGCTACTACATATACCAATGGTAGCAACAAGTTATCTGAGCCAAACATGAACTGTTGTCACTGCAGCAAAAATGCCCACACACAAAATCGTCCATTACGACACAAGTGACCAACCAAATGTGGAGATCCAACAAATGAATCAACACAACAAATGAAAACACATGTAAACACATTTTGCTAACGCTAACTAATGCAGTCTTTGCACTAACTTCCATTTTAGTCGAAGTTCATCAGCTAATCAGCTCGCGCAAAAACATTTTCCCACTGGCAACCAAAGAGTCTTGATTAATCAACAAGCCTCCAGCTGTTATGGCCTGGCTCACAGACCACAACCAAACGAGAAGACTTGTGACACAGTGTGACGGCCCTGCTGTCACAGTCTTGTGTGTCATGTGATTTACTAACTATCAGTTAAGGTCCGCAATGTGGAAGGCGCTTACATCACCTGGATGGTATATAAGGAGCGCCGTTCCATTCATGGGGGTGACTGCAGAAGCCACCACGCGCAGACGACCCGGAGTTCCAGGCTGAGACCAGGCTGAAGGGGCCCGGAGTGATGTCTCCTAGACAATTCAATTCTTTTAATAATAAACGCCTTTCATGGGCTTAACATCACTGGTTGCCGTGTCCCCCTAATTTTGTTGCGGCTTTCTGAGTCGGGCCGTAACAAATGGGGGCTCGTCAAACACAAGACTTTTGCAATTTGGAAAATTGTTGGTTTGAGTGTGTGACGTTTTCATTCACCTTTTTCCTGTTTGTAGGAGTGAGCAGTGACAACACCGTTGGGGGTGGGACACGGCTTCGTTAACCAGTTTGTTTGTTGTAGGCAGCTGTGGCACGTTTTGTTGGTTGGTCTAAAAGACAGGTGAGTGAAATATTTTGGGGTTTGTGCGTCAGTGTGGTTCTCTTTTTGTGATTGTGTCTCCTGATAGGCTAAGAGGTGTTGTCGCTTTAGACTTCACCTCTTTGTTGTTTTAGTAGTGTCGTGGGGGTTTGCGATTGGCGTTCACTGTGCAAGCAGTGATCTCGGGGGCAATCCGTGAGATTAATTTCTCACTGGTTTGGTGCTTAATAAACCCGCCGCCGATCCACGTGAAGAGCTAGGAAT